TTCTTCATTTCCGGTCATCACCTCCGACCAGGTCTTCTTCTCCAGCCGCTCGTCGGTGGTGTTTATTTTCTAATATTTTTTCTCTGATCTGTTTTTTGCTCTAATCGGACCTATTCCCGGTCGGTTTGTCTTCTTAAGATCTGCTCCCGATCTTATTGATGTTTTTACTGCTCATAGAGTCTTGTTCCAGTCATCTCTAGTCGTGACTATCTTCTCCGGTTGTGTCTTATTTTTCGGCCGACGTTTGCTCATGACCGATGTTCATTCCGGTCTACTCATCTCCCAGACTTGTTCCTGGTTTCAGATGCTGTTTGGAGCTTCTATGATGTGTTGCAGTTATTTTTGTTTTAATTTTCTGGCTTGTATTTGGCCATTTAGTTTTTATTCCCACATATGTTTGTGGTGTTATTCGAGTTTGTTGATGTTCATTTCAGAACATTTGATTTTGCCGATGTCCATCCCGGCACCGTTTGGTATTTTGTGGCTGATGTCCATCCCAGCCCTCTCTTCCTTAGCTGATGTCCATACCAGCACCATTGATTTCGCTGAAGCTCATTTCAACACACTGAAGATTTTGGTTTCTCATTCGGGATTTTTTATTTGGTTATTATGTTTTCTTTATTTTTCTTGTTCAAGATGGAAGTTCTCTTTGTTCACTCTCCATCTTGAGGGGGAGTATTAGATATTAGGTATAAGGGTAGTTTAGTATTTTAATGATATTCTAGATCTCTCTTTTCTGTTATGCTCTTCTATATAAGAGCTCATTCATTGTACAAATTAATTCACCACAATCAATGAAATTAATATTTTCTCTTTACTCTCTTTTACCTTCTAATATGTATTATTCAATGTCACTAAAACACTACACTCTGTGGTCTGTGCGTTATAGACTAACTTGCGTAGTTTGCATAGCTAACGTAACTACTCCTGTGAGCCTGATCTGAGGTGATGAGGTATAGGCAATTAAAAAAAAACTTGTCAAGGAAGCTTTCTTATGATGAGGAGACAAATTACACGTCGGCGGCCCAAAGTGTTAAGTTATAGGACCCGTCCTTAGGAATAAATCTTCACCCAAAATTGAGTGCATTTCTAATTATTATGTGACAGGTAAATAAAAAATATCACATTGTTTTTTTTTAAATGATGTGATTTTTTTGTTAATGTGTCACAAAATGATTGAGCAAATACATTAAATTCAGTTTATCTGATGCATTAACAATTTATTTCATACATAGATGACGATCAAAGTGTCAATCTTCAAAGCAAACATGATGTTTTGGGTGCATATGGTCCAAAAAAGTTGCTCCAAGCTATATATTGTAAATTGAAAAATTAAACTTCACAAGGGCCTTAATTTTTATTCAATTACTGCTATTATGTTGAATTTGCGGCAGTTCACACTAAAATTTAAGATAATGACCCACTACTAGAAAAGCCATTATTTTCGACGGAAAAAAAATCCGTGGCAATTATTGACGGAATTTTCGACAGAATTCGTTTACCGTTGAATTTTTTTACGGAAAATAGATTCCGTCAAAAACTTTCGACGAAAAATTGATTCCGTCCAAACTTTTTCGACGGAAAATGAATTCCGTCGAAAATGGATGAATAAAATAAATAGAAAAGGAATTGATTTTGTAAAGGTTTTCGACGGAAAATGGATTCCGTCGAAGATTTTTGACGGAAAACTAATTCCGTCGAAAACGGATGAATAAAATAAATTGGAAAGAAATTGATTTTGTAAAAAATTTTGACGAAAAAATGATTTCGTCGAAACTTTTTCGACAGAAAATGAATTCCGTCGAAAATGGATGAATAAAATAAATGAAAAAAAATTGTTTTTGAGAAGGTTTACGACGGAAAATGGATTCCGCCGAAGATTTTTGACGAAAAATGAATTCCGTCGAAAATGGATGAATAAAATAAATGGAAAAGAAATTGATTTTGTGAAATTTTCGACGGAAAATGAATTCCGTCGAAGATTTTTGACGGAAAACGAATTCCGTCGAAAATGGATGAATAAAATAAATGAAAAAGAAATTGATTTTGTGAAATTTTACGACGGAAAATGGATTCCGTCGAAGATTTTTGACGAAAAAAGAAATTCCGTAAAAAACGGATGAATAAAATAAATGGAAAAGAAATTGGTTTTGTGAAATTTTTCGACGGAAAATGGATTCCGTCGAAGATTTATGACGGAAAATAAATTCCGTCAAAAATGGATGAATAAAATAAATGAAAAAGAAATTGATTTTGAGAAGGTTTTCGACGGAAAATGAATTCCGTCGTAAACGGATGAATAAAATAAATGAAAAAGAAATTGATTTTGTGAAATTTTTCGACGGAAAATGGATTCCGTCGAAAACGGATGAGTAAAATGAAATGGAAAAGAAAGTGATTTTGTGAAATTTTTCGACAGAAAATGGATTGCGTCGAAAACGGATGAATAAATTAATGAAAAAGAAATTGATTTTGAGAAGGTTTTCGACGGAAAATGAATTCCGTCGAAAACGGATGAATAAAATAAAATGGAAAAGAAATTGATTTTGTGAAATTTTTCGACGGAAAATGTATTCCGTCGAAGATTTTTTACGGAAAATTAATTCCGTCGAAATCGGATGAATAAAATAAATGCAAAAGAAATTGATTTTGTGAAATTTTTCGACGAAAAATGGATTCCGTTGAAAACAGATGAATAAATTAAATGAAAAAGAAATTGATTTTGAGAAGGTTTGCGACGGAAAATGAATTCTGTCGAAAACGGATGAATAAAATAAAATGGAAAAGAAATTGATTTTGTGAATTTTTCGACGAAAAATGGATTCCGTCGAAGATTTTTGACGGAAAATGAATTCCGTCGAAAATGGATGAATAAAATAAATGAAAAAGAAATTGATTTTGTGAAATTTTTCGAAGGAAATGGATTCCGTCGAAAACGGATGAATAAAATAAAATGGAAAAGAAATTGATTTTGTGAAATTTTTTGACGGAAAATGGATTCCGTCGAAAACGGATGAATAAAATAAATGAAAAAGAAATTGATTTTGAGAAGGTTTTCGACGGAAAATGAATTCTGTCGAAAATGGATGAATAAAATAAAATGGAAAAGAAATTGATTTTGTGAAATTTTTCGACGGAAAATGGATTCCGTCGAAAACGGATGAATAAAATAAATGAAAAAGAAATTGATTTTGAGAAGGTGGCACTGCGCTAATGTGCTTTGTGCACCACAAGAAATAAATTTGAATATGTATAAATCTGAAATCGGATCCCCAATTGGTTTTTTCTGCAGTCAATGCACGCAATCTGCATTGAATCCAAAATGACATTGTTTTAGAGCAGAAATAAAAATATTTTAGTAATTATAATTTATTTAAAGGTTATAATAATTTTTATCATTAATATTTTTTAATCTTCCAACCCACAACAACGTCAACATTCACTTAGGAAACATTAAACTCTATTTTATATATATATATATATATATATATATGTGTGTGTGTTAGCGGAACAAAACGCTTAGCTTAAGAATCACTAAACCATTTTAAGAACTGATTGATTTTGGAATTGAATTCTAGTCTATCTTCTTTCTGTGTATTTTAGTCTACCTTTCCTCACACTACATCATACACAAGTATTTAATATATATTGAGTATCCATTAGCCAATATAGTAATTAGCAAGATGACTTTTTTTATGCGTACACGATACTGTTATTTGTATATGAAAATTTAATAATATTACTTATATATATATATATATATATATATATATATATATATATATATATATATATATATATATATATATATATATATATATATGGGTTCGATTTTTCTGCAATTACTGCAGATAAGTTATCTGTAGTAAGCCCAATACGACGTCGTTTTGGGGCGGAAATCATGGTGTTTTTGTAATTTTAATTTATTCCAGGGTTATTATAGTATTTATAATTAAATTTTTTAATATTTTAATCCTAAAACGACGTCGTTTTGGGATTAAATACAAATAACTTATTTGCAGTAACTGCAGAAATATTTTTCTGTATATATATATGATAAAATCATTTATGCAGCTACTGTACGTACATCAACGACAGGTGTATGGTTATGATTCTCCACATTTAATGTTTTCATCCTTTGTCTGGTTATGATTCCCCGCATTTAATATTTTCAAGTATATATATGGCAAGTATTTGATTGCTGCACATACAGCAGCCGCAGAAATGTAAACCCTTATATATATATAAATTAAATATGATTTTAAACTTAAAAAAAAAGAAGATACAAAAATATAATACTAAAAGAAGTTGCTGTTTATGAATAAATTTTTTTTAACACTCCTTTTCTTATTGATTAAATTTTATATTAATTCTTTTCCAAAAAATTATATTAATAAAAAATAAATTTATATTATTGAATCTACCCAGCATAAAATTTCTCTCTTAATAAACGAGTCTTAAAAATATGAGTTTAATGTTTTTCTTATTTTAGGAGATATAATTATTTTCTATTCACATATAAAAATGTGTGAAGCATGTGAAAAGAAAAGAGAAAAAATAAAAATATGAATACCATACATTTTATGTATATATAAAAAATAATTTCATACAATATGAGAGATATTAAATCTTAAAAATATCTTCCTAATTTACAAAATATAAAATAAAAAGCTTCCTAATCTTCATTATTATTTAATGGCCTCCCTGCCTTGTAAAGTGTGTAAATATAAAATTGTGAAATAAAAAAAAAAATACTCATATTTAAAATGAAAGGACGGTTTTAGCAAGACATTGTTCCCTCAATTTTTCCTGGGACCCATTAGGAAGCTACCATGCAATTTCCTTCCACCTGCAATTCTGCAAAGTTACGTAATCTTTATTGACATGCCATTTGTGCACCCGAGGCAATTTCATAGCAATTCCCCTCAAAATGCTTTTTAGTGTCCTTATATATATGTCAATCCTTGAAGGCTATTTCTTCAAGTGATTCTTCACCCGAGGCAATTTTCTTAACTAAATAGTATGTTATGGCTACCGAGAAAATTCTCAAACTATCAAAGTGGTTCTCTAACAAAAGTCTCAGGCTTAGTCTACATCCCAAAAGATCAAGATCTTCCCACTCATCCTTGAGCTCTTCTAGATCACTACCCATGTCACCATGTACCATCCACAATAAAAGTAGTGGAGAGGAAGGGTCACTAAGGGAGGTTTTCCGTCACTTTGATGGAGATGGAGATGGGAAAATCTCTGCCTATGAGTTAAGGTCATATTTTGGGTCCATTGGAGAGTACATGTCTCATGAGGAGGCTGAAGAGGTGATCCATGACCTTGATAGTGATGGGGACAACTTGTTGGACTTCAAGGACTTCAAGAAGCTGATGAAGAGGGAAGGTAGGGATGGTGGTGATGATGAGGATCTCAGAAAGGCTTTTGAGATGTTTGTGTGTGAAAAAGAAGGGTCTGGTTGTATCACTCCAAAAGGGTTGCAGAGGATGTTGCACCGCTTAGGAGATGAAAAGTCCCATGATGAGTGTGTGGCTATGATTAATGCCTTTGACATAGATCACAACGGGGTCCTTGATTTCAATGAGTTTCACCAAATGATGGCCTGAGTTGTTAATTTAAATCTAGTATATGTCTTTGATGTAAGTGGATAATTAATACTAAATCCAAATCAGATAATCAAGAATTGCAAAATTGCAGTGTTTAATGATTGCTATCTTCAAGACGATTGTTGTAAAAAACTAACGTAAAAGGTATAAATGTCGTGTAAAAATCGTTCAGAAACATAAAAATGACAGAAACACAAGTTTTTATTTAAATTTAATTTTTATTTTTATTTTTTTAAATTTAATTTTTTCTTTTTTTGTTTTTGAATTTATATGTGACTTATATTTTTAAAATATGAAATTATTTATTGAATTTTGAGTGGTAACTTATGTATTATATATATATATATATATATAATAATTTTATACATTAATCTGAATTAGTAGAAATTTTACGTTTTATGTAATTTTTTTGATTTACATTTTCATCATCCCTTCGATTTTTACGTATAATCTCAATTGTGAAAATTTATTATAATTATAAAAATATTTTGATTTTTATCTCAAAATAATATCATTTTAAGTTCAATATAGATAAATTATTTATATTGATCGTAGAAAAAACGAATCCTTAAACAAAACATATATCTTCTACTGAATCAATTGATCGCTAAGAGATTTCAACCCATTACAAATACTTTAATAAAGCCAAGGCAAAGATGGATTAGTTACATATCTAAATATGAAAAATGGTTCGTTTATAAATTTTTTTTACTTTCGAAAATATATAATATATTTTGTAAAAATTTATAAACTTTTTTTTTGTAAATATAACCTTTTGTTCTAATAAGCATTTGGTAGAGGAGAAATTTTTTTTTATCCGAGAATCTCAATTTTTAAAAATATAATTTTTACCTTCAGTTTATGATAATATCTGAAAATTAAAAATTTAAAACAATTTAATTTATCAAAAATCCCTAAAAATTCCGCGTGCCAAAAAGGGACCGAGTAAGTTTAGACACCAGTGCTTTGGTAAGTTGGAATGAATCTTCTTCTCTTGCCTTACGACTGGACTTGTACTTTTAAAGCTAAAGCAAAGTGACAAGTAACAGGAAAAGTGATAAGTAACAGGAAAAGTGAATAAAGGAACATGTCATGTCGCTCTTTATTTCATAAGCTTTTATTTGTCCTTGAAATTGGAGAGATCAAACTTTTAAAATATATTATATTTATAAATTTTTTATTTATAAATTCTTATAAATTATATTATGTTTGATTAATTATATTTTAATTAAAAGTATATCACTGATCAGATTTAGTATAATTTATAAAAAAATTTGTAAATAAATCGTTTTCTATCTTTTAATTCATTTTGTTATAAATAATATGATATAATTATAGCAAGTTCATAAAAGGTGTTTATTTTATCAATTAATTTATCAGAAAGCTAATTAATCGGGTTCCAGGAGTGTCTAATTTACTCTCCCAACAATTATTTCAAACTTGATAACCTACCACACTTGGTAGGAATTTCTAATATATATTATTTACTTTAGTAATACAGATTCTTAGGTAATTTAAGTAAAAGGAAATTTATATGCTCTATCATTCAGTATATTTTACCATAGATATAGGGGTGGTAAAATGAGCCAATTTATCGGATTGGCTCGTAACCTGTTAAAAATAAGTCAGGTTGGATTGACAAAAATGACCTGCCAACCCAACCCGAGCTAGCTAAAAAAAAAACGAGTCAACCTGCAGGTCAAACGAGCTAGCTCGCGACTTGAATTTTTTTTTTAATAAAAAATACAAAATATAATATACAAAAATAGAGAAAACTCACACATGTTGTCATCGTCTTTCTTCCTTCTCTAAACCTAAGTCCCTAATCTTCTCACATCTCTGCTATTTTTATATTGTTAGGCTGTGCTGGCTCTGTTTGGTCCAAATATCTTATTCACTTGGTAGCAAGCGGTTCTGATTGTTTCTTGATGTTGGTGCAAATCTGTTGTGAAAAAAATTCGAAATTAGAATATTTTGCTTTTATTTATCATTTTGTAACCCTTTGTTTAATCTGATAGAAGCCACATAACCGGTGCATTAATACTGCAGGTTCATTTAAATAGACTGAAAACGAGACAACTCGCGAGCAATTTTCGATCCAACCCGCGAGCCAATTTTTGAGCCAACTCGTGAGTTATTTTTTTAAGCCAACTCATGAGCCAAATTTTTGAGCCAACTCGTGAGCCAACCCTAACCCGACTCGGGTCGGGTTGGGTTGAGTTTTCTGGCTCATTTTTTTTTTCGAGTCAACCCTAATCCGGTTCATTTTTTCGAGTTGCATGCGGATTGAGCTGGGTTGAGCCGAATTAGTCCATTTTGTCAACCCTACGTAGATATATGAGCCACAAATTTCTTTCTTGTCAATATAATAATAATTATCTGCATTAGATTTGAGACACTTGTACCTAAAAAAGGTATTGAGACATTCAATAGCATGATGTAATTTATTTTTCTCTCCAATACTGAGTGCTCAGCCCTTCTTAGATTTGAATTTTAAGACTACTAATCCTCACCACTGAGGTGACATCAAACAGTTTCTTTATTCTCCCGTTGCTCTTTTAATTCGTCCAGCTGTAGGAGACTTATTTAGTTATTTTTCCATCCAATTTAAATCTGTTAAATCTGATAAGAAAACAATTATCAATAATTATTAGTTCAAGTGATAATAAATTTATTTTTCTTAATTAAAAGTCTTGAGTTCAAGTCATTAAAATAGAGAAAATAGTTTTGGGAGATTCATCACATATAAAATCGGATCCTTTAAGACTTCAGACATTGGTTGGTATATATATATATTATATATATATATATAAAATTAACATCTACCCCTTATGATAGATGCTAAACAGCACTATTGCAGAGCATTGGCGTATAAGTTTTCTATTTGGAAAAGAAAAGAAAAGAAAAGAATAAAAACAACGACAACAACAATAAGAAATATACAGATACGTCTTGGTGTTTATAAATGTGTGACGTTAACCTCATGTTTTTTTTGTGTGGAAAAATTCAAAAACTCTCTTATGGTAATGTTTTGAATCATTTACATTCTTATGCTTTTTTAATCATTTAACTCTATGTGATATTTTTTATTCACATACCTACTTAACACTGTTATGAACTTAACTAAATATGCCTATTTTACTCTTTTTAGAAGAAGAAAATAAAGTAATAAAAATATTAATAATAAGACCAAATGTTATGAAAATTTAGAATACTTAATAAAAGACTAAAATAAAAAAGAAAAATAAAAATCAAATGTGTCTAAATAAAAATAAAAAAATAGAATAAAGACAAAAAAATATAAAAAAATAAGGTTAAATATGTTAAAAATCACAAAAATGATAGAAAAGACTAAATTTTTAAAAAAAAAAATACTAAAGACAAAAAATAGAAGAAAAAATTAAGAAAAAAATAAAATACAAAAGAAATGAAACAAAAAGAAATCACAATTATGAGTTATATATATATGTGTGTACGTGTGTGTATGTGTGTTTATTGTCGTTGATCTATTTTATTCTTTTTTATTTAGATATGTTTGGTTTTTTTCTTTTTCTTTTTTTACTTTTTGATCTATTTTATTCTGATTTTTTCTCACTCTTTTTTTAAGCCTTGTGTCACCTCATCTACTAAAGATTTTAGTAAAAAAAATTAAAAAGGGAGAAAGAGAATAAAATATAGATATAAAAAAGACCAAACATATCCAAATAAAAAGAATAAATAGATCAAGGATAAAAAATAAAAAAATAAAAAACCAAATATATTTAAAATTCATAACTCAGATTTCTTTTTATTCTATTTTTTTATCTTAATTTTTTCTTCTATTTTTTTGTATTGAGCATATATATTTTTTCATTTAGACTATTTTTTAATTTTTAATTTATTTTTAGTTTTTTCTGTCACTATTGTGTTTTTTAACATATTTAGTCTTATTTTTTCTTCTATTTTTTGTCGTTATTCTATTTTTGTTATTTAGACACATTTGATCTCTTTTTTTCTTTTAGTATTTTATTAAGTATTCTAAGTTTTCATAATATTTAGTCTTATTTTTCTTTTTCTTTCATTATTTTATTTTCTTCTTCTAATAAGAGTAAAGTAGGTATATTTAGTCAAATTTCTAACAATGTTAAGGAGGGGGTGGATAAAAAAATCATGAGGTTAAGTGATTAAAAAAAATATAAAAATGTAAGTGATTCACGTGAAGTTTTTGAATTTTTTTTCTTTTTTTTTAACATAAAAATATAAGTGTGATTAAACGTAAGATTTCTGAGAGGAATTATATATCGTCCATCAACGAGACCTTCACATCAATTAAGGGGGCGTTTGGTTGAGGAAATTTTTTTGGAATAGTAGGAAAATGTAATAGATAGAGAAATGATTGGAAAGATAGATAAAGTGAGATAGGTAGAAAAATGTAAAAAAAAGTTATTTGATGGAGAAAAACTTTACTGAGAAAATTAGGTAACTTTATGAAATCAACAGTGCATTAAAAGCCAGATAACCGGTTTTCCGAAAAATCCCACCTTTAAATTGGGTTTCTAAACAGTGCGGATATCTATGTTTCTCATAAATCCATACAAATTGGATATATGGGTTTTTGGTGAAAATACATTGAAACAAACATGGTGTTTCTAAAAGCCATACTTGAGAAACATAGATATCCGCTGAAAAGCTCCCAACCAAACACCACCTAACAGAATTTGAACTCAGGCACTTTTGAGTTATGAACCTAATCCTTACGCTCTCATTTTATTTGGTGTAGCTGGTTGTCAAATTAATACTTTAAAGACATTTCAACTTATTCCGATTCGAAGCCATAATAATGTTGTGCTAAAGAACAGGCAAATGTAACCAACTTATCAGTGTAACAAATGAAGTCAATTAATATTATTCATTGATCATTGAACATTGAACTTTAGTAATTTAGCTTTTTGACCTTTTTACTCTTCATTAAACAATTAATAACCATTTTTCCCCTCGTTCAAAACGATCTACCAATTTGTCCCTCATTAATTGATTAACTTGAAGATTTAATCGATTAAATGGTCAAAACTGACAAAAATAATTGACTTGAAGATTTAATCGATTAAATCTTCAACTTAATCGATTAAATCTCCAAAAAAAAGAAACGAAAAGTAAACAAAGGCTTTTGCCCGCAAGAAACCACGTATGGTTACCAGTGTATGGTTACTTGATTGTATGCTACTACCTCTGGTCCTGAAACTTCAACCAATTCGGAGAAACCACGTATGGTTACCATTAAAGATGTTTTCTATCCAAAAATACAATCAAGTAATCCTCCTACTGTTTCCAAGAGTTCAACCTCTATCCAAACATCATTACCCACAATCCAGAAAGCTTTTGCCCGCAAGAATGGGAGTGGATGACCAAGCACACCAAATTCACATGCATCGTGTAATTTCATCCTCTTCACTCGAATTAAATTCCCATTTCATTTCAATCGAATTCAAAGTGGGAACAGAAGATTGAAACCATAAAGCAAAGCTTATTTATTTACTTTTTGTTTCTTTTTGGAGATTTAATCGATTAAGTTGAAGATTTAATCGATTAAATCTTCAAGTCAATTATTTTTGTCAATTTTGATCATTTAATCGATTAAATCTTCAAGTTAATCGATTAAAGAGGAACAGATTGGTAGATAATTTTGAATGAGGAATATTAATTAACTAATGAAGGATAAAAGAGTTAAAAAACATTAATAATTTGCTATGAGTAATTATAAATGTAAAGATATTTCTCTTCGGAATACCTTCACAACCTCAAGAAAGGTTGATAAATTTTTATACATTATTTTATATTTCTCAACCACTCTTTTTACATGGAGCTTTAGATTATATATATCATCCATGAGGTTTTCACATTGGTTATCGGGAACTCAAGTACTTTGGGTTAGTTATGAGCCTAATCCTTACTTTCTCATTTAATTTGGTGGGGCTGGTTGTCAAATTAATACTTTAAAGACATTTCAACTTATTCCGATTCGAAGCCAAAATAATGTAGACATGTAGTATTAATTAAAGAACACGCAAATGTAAGACAAGTATGAGTAAAAGATAATGTAAAGAATTAATTCAACTCAAAATCTTAAGTTGTTGGGTGAGGTTATATTAATAGTTTTATAGATTTTATAAGAGTTATGTTGTAAGAAAAATGATTGTGTAATGTTAGAGATTCGTTTTGCGTGCCTTAATTTTTTTTTTTTGTTTCAAAAAGTGCGGGTCCCATAAAATATTGCGTGTGTAGGAAACTTTTTTGTGTCATGTTACATAATGAATACAAATCCCTAGTTTTATATATCTTTAACAAGCTCCCTCACATGAAAGTTCATTAAGCATGAAGTGTGGATGATATATTAGGTCCAACCTACTTGTGTTAAGAAATTTCACAAGAGAAAGTAAGGGCGATGGGGATCGAACATATGACATCGAAACTTTAGTACCATACAAAGAATCAATTTAACCTAAAATCTTAAAGTGTTGGATGATGTTACATTTATAATTTTATATATGTCTGAACGTTACTCGTATTAGAATGAATTCAATTAACACTGAAGGGGTTTTCCTTGTGATTTCAAATTTCATATTATGAAATAAAAATAACAACATTTATTGTGAAAACAATCAATCCAAGAAATCTACTCAATGTTGCGGCTGACCTTTCATTGACCACAAAAGATGTGGTTAATTTTGTATGACAATTTAAATTCTAAAACTAATTTTATGTATTTAAATAAATTTCCGTAAGGTTCTTACATTTTAACATTTAAATGAGTACCTAGAACCTAAAATGTAGGAAAATAAAAAAAAAATTAATCTTATTTAAATAAATATATAGTTTTATCTAAAAAATTATACTAAGGAGGTATTTAATATTAATTTTAGAAAATTTTAGGATTAAAATTATTATGCATGTGTGTAACAAATGGACCCCTGCAAAGAAAAGAATATAACAAATGTCACTAATCATACAAAAGAAATCTAACATAAGATTTAATATTTCATGACTTTATTTAATATTATTTGAGTGATTTCCTAAATAAAACAAGTCCATGGTGTCGTCTTCTCAGCAAGAGAAACAACAAAAAAAATATTTATTCATAATAAAAAATGTGGATGTTGCTTGCATACGTGGCCTTTTGTGCATTTGAATGTCATTTAAAAAAAATACTAAAGTAATTCAAAACAAAAAAAGAATGATTAAAATAATATTGTAAAACGTTGGGTGGGTATGTGTTCAAGTCGCGCAAGGAATTGATGTACATTTAGGCATTAGTCGAATTAGTAGCTGCCAAATGGTGCAAGCTAAATTAATCATGGTTACTTCATCAAGGTTTAACTGTGACTAATTTTCGTTCAAAGGATGAGGGTAATTAATTCACTTACAATTGGTCTATTATACATGACTTAATCATTGATTTAAGAAGTCTAGAGTCAAATAGAATTATGGCGTAATATGTATGGCTCAATTGTTAAAAAAAACATAAATTTGAAATATATCAAATTATGATCTAATCCAAGTCCAAAAGAAGCAGCAGATATGATCAGTGGCGGACCTTCTCATGAGCACATGTACGCAAGTGCAGACATACAGTTTTGATTTTTTTTTTTATAGTTACTAAGCAATGAAAATGAGGAAAAGTGCTTTTGGCAACAAAAACCACTTCAGCGAACAAGGACAAAGATAAGGATAAGAAAAGACCCATTTCACGGTCGTCCCTGACCCCCGCGGGATGTATTCAGTGGCGGACCTGCTCCTGGGCACATGTCCGCAAGTGCAGCATAAAGTTTTGATTTTGATTTTGATTTTTTATAGTTACTAAGCAATGAAAATGAGGAAAAGTGCTTTTGGCAACAAAAACCACGGCAGCAAACAAGGACAAAGATAAGGATAAGTCGTCCCTGATCCCTGTGGGATGTATTCATAGGCAGCTGAAGCAAAGGATCCAGGCCAATGGACGAGTTGGGGCCACTGCTGCTGTATACTTAGCCTCCATTCTTGAGTATCTCACTGCAGAGGTTCTTGAACTTACTAGGAATGCAAGCAAAGATCTCAAGGTGAAGAGGATAACACCAAGGCCTTTACAACTTGCTATCAGGGGAGATGAGGAGCTTGATACCCTTATTAAAGGGACCATTGTTGGTAATGGTGTCATCCCTCACATCCACAAGTCCCTCATAAAAAAAACCGCCAAAGAATAAAATATTTGCTTCTGATTGATTTCATATGGTTGTTAACGGAAAACTATTTTGTTTAGTTTTATGACCTGATTGCAGGAGGGTAGCATGATTTCTTCAACTGTCTATTTGGAACTGAGATGTATGTTAGGTACGTAGATGGTCGTATTTTTATGTGGTCTTTTTACTCGTTTAATTGGCTTGTCTTAAAGTTTTAATGGAGTTGGATTGCTAGACAATGATTTCTTTTAGTGTTTGATATGTTGCCTTTATTGGTTAGTTCCTCCTTTGATATTTGGTTGTTTTATTTTAATCTTTGGAATGGTTTGGTTATCCGTTGATTACTGTATAGAAAAATGGGCTATGATGAAGATGAAAATAGTTGAAATAAAAAATTATTGATTGAAAGTTGATGTCTTTACTATTTTTATTAAGTTGAAGTAACAGAAACCATGCGTTCCATTTTTTTTATAGTAAATTATAGTAACAAAATTCAGTTACTATCTATTGTGATTACTAGCTGGTGCATAAACTAAAGACACTGCATGAGGTGATCCTATTTCTGCATCTTGGGTCACTGCACTTGAATTCTGAGTTGCACTTGAAGTAAGCTCTCATGTTATAAAGTTTTCTTTTTTTGTTTATATTTATATTTTTTAATATATTTTTAAGAAATTTAAAAAAAATTCGGGGGCAGAACCCCCAAATCTTCGCTACTAAATGTGCGGACATAAATCAAATTCCTGGGTCCGCCACTAGATATGATTGCGATTTGTTTGGTAAGAAAAGAAAAGCAACATATTTGACATGTTTTGAATGATTTAATTGTAATTATTTATTATTTTTAGAAGTTAATTACCATTATATTTATTTTAAGAATTTTACTTATTTTTGGGATTTTAGATTTTGAATTTTGATTTTTGAATCAATTTATAACTAATCTATAAAAGGGTGCTTATGACCAAGGTAGTTAAAATTGAGTTTTTACCTAAAAATGGAAGGGAGATAAAAAATCATAAAACGTCAAATCACTATGAAATTTTTTTGTAAAAAAGTAAAAGCACTTGAAATTTTGATGAAAAAAAATTGTAAAATCGTAAAAGCGCAGTTTTAGAAATAGTTTTTAACTGCAATGATTATAACCCTTATTATAAGAGTTAAATTTTGTTAATAGAAATTGAGAACCGAAGGGATACTCTATTATGAAATCATAACTTTCTGTGTAGCCACATTTTTTATGCACTTTAAGCATAAGTTGGTATAAGAGCACTAGGTTGTCTTTAACCAATGGCTTAATAGAATCGTAGAGGTCATCAATGACAGAGTCACGAAGGCAAGGGACGTGGATTTGTTCTTAAAGAAGACAGAGAACTGCGTTAGATAGACCCACATAACATAGAAAATGAAGAGCTCGAAAGACGGATCTAGGATTTTAAGCGACAACTTGAGCAGAAGTTGGACATGAGAATCCAAGATTTGGAGCGACGACTCATGCGGGAGCATAGCGGGAAAATTCAAGTTTTAGAGTGACAACTTGTGGAGGCGCAGAGCATGAAAATCCAAGATTTGGAGTAACGACTTGCGTGGACAAAGTTGGGCATTCAATTCAAAGAAGAAATGGAATTAGAGTACGCATATGATGACGAAGAGGAGGACGTCAATCCCTTGGAGATTCTAAACCAGGGACATAATTGGAAAGTACGAGTTGGAAATCAGTCAACTTTTTAAGATATCAATATGCAAATCAACATTACTGACTTTGATGTGTATGACCACAACACAATTTGTGATGATTTTCCCATTTATAATGACTATCCATCTTATGATGAAAATTCAGTTTATTATGATAATCTAGTCTATGATAAATCTAATGATGAAGATCTAATAGAGAAAAAATTATCAATTGAATTTTTACCTTAAGAGATTGATAACAGTGAAGATGAAGAAGATTCGAGGATGAAGATCAAGAAGACCATGCTTATGAAGTTTTGATGATAACAAAGCAACAACAAGTACCAACATAGCACAACATGAAAGCTCTCAATATAAGGCATGGCAACAAGTTCTAAATGATACAAAAATCCTATAACAAAGTGCAAACATGAAGAGAACTGTAACACCCCGTGTGCATCCGGTGTACTTTAGGATCAGATCCACCTCGCATAAAACTCAGAAAAAAATGGTTAATAGCACCTGCAAAACACAGAACAAGATAGAACAAGATAAAATAAAAATAAAAATAAAAATCAAATCTCAAAGATCAACGATTATTTATAATATTGGAATTAATAATCCCCGGCAACGGATCCAAAAACTTGATGCTCACCGGCAAGTGTACCCTCATCCTTTTGTGCATTTGAATGTCATTTAAAAAAAATACTAAAGTAATTCAAAACAAAAAAGAATGATTAAAATAATATTGTAAAACGTTGGGTGGGTATGTGTTCAAGTCGCGCAAGGAATTGATGTACATTTAGGCATTAGTCGAATTAGTAGCTGCCAAATGGTGCAAGCTAAATTAATCATGGTTACTTCATCAAGGTTTAACTGTGACTAATTTTCGTTCAAAGGATGAGGGTAATTAATTCACTTACAATTGGTCTATTATACATGACTTAATCATTGATTCAAGAAGTCTAGAGTCAAATAGAATTATGGCGTAATATGTATGGCTCAATTGTTAAAAAAAACATAAATTTGAAATATATCAAATTATGATCTAATCCAAGTCCAAAAGAAGCAGCAGATATGATCAGTGGCGGACCTTCTCATGAGCACATGTACGCAAGTGCAGACATACAGTTTTGATTTTTTTTTTTTTATAGTTACTAAGCAATGAAAATGAGGAAAAGTGCTTTTGGCAACAAAAACCACTTCAGCGAACAAGGACAAAGATAAGGATAAGAAAAGACCCATTTCACGGTCGTCCCTGACCCCCGCGGGATGTATTCAGTGGCGGACCTGCTCCTGGGCACATGTCCGCAAGTGCAGCATAAAGTTTTGATTTTGATTTTGATTTTTTATAGTTACTAAGCAATGAAAATGAGGAAAAGTGCTTTTGGCAACAAAAACCACGGCAGCAAACAAGGACAAAGATAAGGATAAGTCGTCCCTGATCCCTGTGGGATGTATTCATAGGCAGCTGAAGCAAAGGATCCAGGCCAATGGACGAGTTGGGGCCACTGCTGCTGTATACTTAGCCTCCATTCTTGAGTATCTCACTGCAGAGGTTCTTGAACTTACTAGGAATGCAAGCAAAGATCTCAAGGTGAAGAGGATAACACCAAGGCCTTTACAACTTGCTATTAGGGGAGATGAGGAGCTTGATACCCTTATTAAAGGGACCATTGTTGGTGATGGTGTCATCCCTCACATTCACAAGTCCCTCATAAAAAAAACCGCCAAAGAATAAAATATTTGCTTCTGATTGATTTCATATGGTTGTTAACGGAAAACTATTTTGTTTAGTTTTATGACCTGATTGCAGGAGGGTAGCATGATTTCTTCAACTGTCTATTTGGAACTGAGATGTATGTTAGGTACGTAGATGGTCGTATTTTTATGTGGTCTTTTTACTCGTTTAATTGGCTTGTCTTAAAGTTTTAATGGAGTTGGATTGCTAGACAATGATTTCTTTTAGTGTTTGATATGTTGCCTTTATTGGTTAGTTCCTCCTTTGATATTTGGTTGTTTTATTTTAATCTTTGGAATGGTTTGGTTATCCGTTGATTACTGTATAGAAAAATGGGCTATGATGAAGATGAAAATAGTTGAAATAAAAAATTATTGATTGAAAGTTGATGTCTTTACTATTTTTATTAAGTTGAAGTAACAGAAACCATGCGTTCCATTTTTTTTATAGTAAATTATAGTAACAAAATTCAGTTACTATCTATTGTGATTACTAGCTGGTGCATAAACTAAAGACACTGCATGAGGTGATCCTATTTCTGCATCTTGGGTCACTGCACTTGAATTCTGAGTTGCACTTGAAGTAAGCTCTCATGTTATAAAGTTTTCTTTTTTTGTTTATATTTATATTTTTTAATATATTTTTAAGAAATTTAAAAAAAATTCGGGGGCAGAACCCCCAAATCTTCGCTACTAAATGTGCGGACATAAATCAAATTCCTGGGTCCGCCACTAGATATGATTGCGATTTGTTTGGTAAGAAAAGAAAAGCAACATATTTGACATGTTTTGAATGATTTAATTGTAATTATTTATTATTTTTAGAAGTTAATTACCATTATATTTATTTTAAGAATTTTACTTATTTTTGGGATTTTAGATTTTGAATTTTGATTTTTGAATCAATTTATAACTAATCTATAAAAGGGTGCTTATGACCAAGGTAGTTAAAATTGAGTTTTTACCTAAAAATGGAAGGGAGATAAAAAATCATAAAACGTCAAATCACTATGAAATTTTTTTGTAAAAAAGTAAAAGCACTTGAAATTTTGATGAAAAAAAATTGTAAAATCGTAAAAGCGCAGTTTTAGAAATAGTTTTTAACTGCAATGCTTATAACCCTTATTATAAGAGTTAAATTTTGTTAATAGAAATTGAGAACCGAAGGGATACTCTATTATGAAATCATAACTTTCTGTTTAGCCACATTTTTTATGCACTTTAAGCATCAGTTGGTATAAGAGCACTAGGTTGTCTTTAACCAATGGCTTAATAGAATCGTAGAGGTCATCAATGACAGAGTCACGAAGGCAAGGGACGTGGATTTGTTCTTAAAGAAGACAGAGAACTGCGTTAGATAGACCCACATAACATAGAAAATGAAGAGCTCGAAAGACGGATCTAGGATTTTAAGCGACAACTTGAGCAGGAGTTGGACATGAAAATCCAAGATTTGGAGCGACGACTCATGCGGGAGCATAACGGGAAAATTCAAGTTTTAGAGTGACAACTTGTGGAGGCGCAGAGCATGAAAATCCAAGATTTGGAGTAACGACTTGCGTGGACAAAGTTGGGCATTCAATTCAAAGAAGAAATGGAATTAGAGTACGCATATGATGACGAAGAGGAGGACGTCAATCCCTTGGAGATTCTAAACCAGGGACATAATTGGAAAGTACGAGTTGGAAATCAGTCAACTTTTTAAGATATCAATATGCAAATCAACATTACTGACTTTGATGTGTATGACCACAACACAATTTGTGATGATTGTCCCATTTATAATGACTATCCATCTTATGATGAAAATTCAGTTTATTATGATAATCTAGTCTATGATAAATCTAATGATGAAGATCTAATAGAGAAAAAATTATCAATTGAATTTTTACCTTAAGAGATTGATAACAGTGAAGATGAAGAAGATTCGAGGATGAAGATCAAGAAGACCATGCTTATGAAGTTTTGATGATAACAAAGCAACAACAAGTACCAACATAGCACAACATGAAAGCTCTCAATATAAGGCATGGCAACAAGTTCTAAATGATACAAAAATCCTATAACAAAGTGCAAACATGAAGAGAAGTGTAACACCCTGTGTGCATCCGGTGTACTTTAGGATCAGATCTACCTCGCATAAAACTCAGAAAAAAATGGTTAATAGCACCTGCAAAACACAGAACAAGATAGAACAAGATAAAATAAAAATAAAAATCAAAATCAAATCTCAAAGATCAACGATTATTTATAATATTGGAATTAATAATCCCCGGCAACGGATCCAAAAACTTGATGCTCACCGGCAAGTGTACCGATCGCACAAGTAATATAATGAGTAAGCAAAGTATCGTCTCCACAGGGATTGTAAACCAAATACCACAATAGCATGTCCCTTTAAGTTAGAAAATCCGGTTGTTTTTGGAAAATTGTGAATTGATGGAAAATTAAAGACAGAAAGTTTAAAAATATAATTCTTAATTTAATAAGCATTGGTAAAGTTTGGATTTTTGAAAGAATAATAAAAGACATTGCAGCTAAGGTACACGCACCATATGATCCCCGCTTTAAACTTTGGATTGATTAACAATGCTCATTCATTTTAATAACTCAAACAAATTATCATCTAAAAATAATTAGCTAAATCTCAATCCCTTGATAATTTAACCCTTTAATCCAATTGGAACCCTAATTCCTTAGCAATACCGCATGAAATTAAGCATTAACCACAATAAATTAAACGACTGCAATTCACACAAGCCTATCCCTAGAGCATGCATAAATTGTTACCTTACCCCCTTTCAGAATCAAAACCCCAATATTTCTATTGCGAGCCCTAATTCCCAAATTATTATCTCCTATCAGGTTGATCAAGTCTAACAGAAATAATAAACAATACGCACAGGGAAAAAATAAAATATATTAAAATAAACAAGCGAAAATAAATCAATCTATCGTAAAAAGGGTTCACATAGGGTTTGTGACCCTAACTACAATAAGAGAAATTAGCCAGCCATAGACATAGCTGACATACAATTATAAAAGAGAAAAGAAAAGAAAATTACGATGATAAACTACGAGCGACGATTTGCTCCCTTGATGTACTCCTCCCACGGGAACTCTTGTGCCTTCTGTTGTAATCATTTTTCTCCTCCCTCGCAACGTTCTTTAAACGTTCAGAAATTGAGTTCCCTCAAAAGTTCACGCGGGTCGCGCGAAGTTGGCGCTGCAACCGCGCCAACTCTTTGGAATCTATATGGCAATGCATATCCGTGCGGGTAGCGCCAATTTCCGTGCGGGTAGTGCGGTTCTCTTTTTCTTCTTTTCCTCAATTTCCTATTTCTTCATATTTTAACCTGTAAAACTATAAAAGCATAAGAAATAAACTGAATAGAAAAACTAAATAATAAAAGCAATTAATATACAAAAAATGATCTCCTATGACTAAATTCTTATTATTTTTGGCTTGGAAAATATTATATGCCAGAGGCACATCACATGTTGCACACAAAACTTGTGATGTGCACCAGGCATGGCCTCCTGCAAAGTTGGTATCAAACCCTGCATCCATATATGAAGCATCAATAAAAATCATTAAACATGGCTACCAATGTACAGGTTAAATAGTACCCATATAAAACCAAAAGCAATTTGAAATAAACATACCTTTTGCTGATCAGAAATGAAGTTCCAACCATGGACTACATGGCTGCCAATGTCTTCTTGTAACAAGTTCAGAAACCAGTTCCAGTTTTCTTTGGTCTCACTATCCACCACTGCATAAGCAATGACATAAAAGCTCTTGTTTGCATCCTCTCCCACTGCACTCAACAATTGTCCCCCATAGTATTCTTTTAAGAAACAACTATCCAGGCCAATCAATGGCCTACAACCAGCTTTAAACCCTTTCTTACAGGCATCAAGACATATATACAGTTTAGAAAAAATAGGTGGGCTCTCAGGTACAGGCTGTGGTATTACTTGCATCTTGCAAGTGGAGCCAGGATTGCTTCTCAAAAGCTCATACTGGTAGTCCCTTAACTTGGCATACTGTTCATTCCCACATCCTTTTATTCTGCCCTTGGCTTTACGTAGTGCCTTGGTCACTTTCTTGAGATGTACATGGACCTTGTACTTCTCTTTTAAATGCTTATAAGCTTCAGCCCTTGTCATGTTGGGCTGTGTGACCAGCCTTTTCTCCAACTTTTTTGCAACCCAATCCTTGCTGGCCCTTTTATTTTTGAAAATTCTGCAGCATGAATGTGAATCATTGAATGTCTTCACTTGGAAACTATTGAATTTGTTGTTCCAGGAACAATATATCATCCACTCACAGTCTTCATTTGAGCATTTGCCCTTGCTCTTACCTTGTCATTTTTAACCCACTTAAATTGTCTCCCAAGACTTATATTGTAGTCTTTCACACCATTTTTAAAGTGCTCTAAACTGACAAACTCCATTCGAAGCTCAAGTTGTACATGACCAAAAGTATTATCCGCATTATACTTCGAAAACACAACCCTTTCAACCTCCTCATCCCCACTTGAAGGAGGAGTCTTCAGCTCTTCAGAATTGTAACCATAGCCCTGCTCTTCAAATAACATATTCTGCTCATCCTCTGCCAAGTTTTCTTCCCTGTCATCTTGGTTAATTGCCTTTTTTTTTTTCCTTTCACCCTTTTTTTTAATGAAATAAGTGGCTCATCCTCTTCATCCAGTTCATCCTCTGTTTCGTCATCAAAACCCAGTGGAGGAGGCTTATATGGCTCATCTTCTACACTGTCATATGAATCACTTGACAGTCCATTGCCCTCTCTACTTCATATTCATCAGCAGTAGTCATATGGAAGTCATATGAACTGCCAACTGAATCACCTAACACCCCCTCCTCATCAGCACTTTGAGGTACAGACCCATCACTCCCTTCTGCAGGTCCAGCCAAAATGTCAAGAACTGCAATGCAATCTTTGAAATAAATTTCTATTTTGTTCCCATTACCTAATGCAGCCTTAACCATTTCCAAAACGTCTGAGTCCTTTTCAGGAAGACATAGCCCAACCTCTAAATCACTCTCAGTAGGCTTAAGCCACCATATCTGTCTACATTTTTTATAGCCAAACCCCTTGAACAGAGTTTCAAGGTCACGAAAGTTGACATAGTCTGCATCCATCTCAGGTAAATCATCCACCCTCCCATTTACATAAGTCAGCTTCCCTTCATCATTCCTAACCAACACACCCCCATGATGATATCTTATGACTATATACTCATCCATCTGCATAGAAAACAGAACTCAAACATTTTTTACACTACCATAATATTATTTTACAGTATCATATAACCAACCATGTATTATCAGTATTACAATAATACTGCCACATATAAGGGACAACCACTTAGACATTTTTTAAATGGCTCGATTGCTAAAAAATTGGGTCCACTAAACACTACACATAGCAATTTAAAAAACGAAAATGGGACCACATGCAACAAGTTCCAAATATAAAACACCAAAGGGGACCACAAAATAAAACCCTAACAATCTCTTTACCAGTACCGAAAATGGGGGACCACATTAAACAAAAAACAATGACGAAAAAGAGTACGGGGACCACAGATAATAAACAAATGACTTCTTCCACGTACCTTATTCGAATGTGACCACACTCACCACCGTTTTAACGATGTTGACCAAATAACCACACTACTTCCGAATCGTTGCAAATGCAGACGAGACGTGCACCAACAAACCACCGTTCCTCACAACCTTCACCAGAAACGTAGCTCACGAGCAGAGGAAAGGGTGGATATGGAGAAGTTACTTGTTGTCTGAGTGTGTCAACTAAGTTAACACCAAGGTTAAAGAAGTCTCCTGTAAAGAAACGACGTCGTCCGCTTCTATCTTTCAGCTGTTGACCTTCGCATATACACAACGACGTCGTTTATTCATCCAACGTGGCTTGTGAGGTTAGTGACTCAGCAAACTAACGTTCCATGTGTGCTCCGTTAGTTGAGCCGTTTGATGCCAACTAACAGAAGGACAAACGTAGCACTAATTTTCCAAAATTAAGGACCAAAATGAGCCTTTTTTATTGTTGGGGACCAAATTGGGCTTCGTGAAAATTTTCAGGGACGAAAAAAGGTATTTACTCTTTTATTTATTTAATATATATATATATATATATATATGGGAAAAATATTTGTCATTTTAAATGACATAAAGTTAGGTCATTTTAAGAGAGAGACTACTTTCTCTCCCATGGTTTTCATTCATTGTGTCTATCTCTCTCTTAAAATGACATAACTTTATGTCATTTAAAATAACAATCACCAAACCCTATATATGTGTGTGTGTGTGTGTGTGTGTGTGTGTGTGTGTGTGTGTGTGTGTGTGTGTGTGTGTGTGTGTGTAGGGTTCGCTTTTTCTGTAGTTACTGCAGATAAGTTATCTGCAGTAAGCCTAATACGCCGTCGTTTTGGGGCGAAAATTATGGTATCTTTGTAATTTTAATTTATTTTAGGATTATTAAAGTCTTTATAATTATAATTATAATTTTCTAATCTTTCAATCCCAAAACGACGTCGTTTTGAAAATAAATGCAGATAACTTATCTGCATTAACTGTAGAAATATTTTTCTGATATATATATATATATATATAGGAGAGAGATCATTTGACTCCTGAGTAAGACTTATAAGTCTTACTCCTCATCTCAGCCCTTGATTTCTGTCCATCTAATGGTTATAGTTTATGAAGTTATATAATTAATTAATTATTAATTACATTACAAATGACAACCGTTGATTTCCATCTATTAACGGCTAAGATAAGGAGTAAGACTTAAAAATCTTACTCTGGAGTCAAAAGAACCCTCTCCATATATATATATATTATGTTTTATTTTGAACAATCTGTGTTTTTATAATAGGAATATTCAAAATATAAAATAATAAGTATAGATAAATCACTAAATTAAAAATTATATTATTGGCTATAAAAAAAAATTATATTATTGAATTGAAACATAAGATAAAAAATAAATAAAATAAAATAAAATATCCCGTTAAATTTATTACTGACACAAATTAGTTTATTCTTAAAAAAAAAGTATGTATAAAAAAAAGTAAAAATAAAAATAAAAAAAGAAGCTATGTCTTACTAATTCTATTTTACGATAGTGTCATGAAGGGTTTAAAAATCCACCTTCAAATATAATATTTTTGGGAGAGATTTAAATCTTAATTCTGGACCCGGCTCTGAACATAATTGTTTCCCAAAGAAATTATTTGTTGTTTATCAAAAAATAAAAATAAAAATGCGCCTTTAAAATAAATACATTCATGTTGAATTTATGTGAGATTTCGCAATAAAATTGTCTTCATTTCCTCTCTGTTATATAGTAGTAACGGACGAATATCGTCCTTACAAATATAACAAATAGTTTGATGCATGCGGAAGTTATAGGTAATCCTTAAGTTCGAATAAAACATTGGTATCTATACCCGATTTGCCATCTTTAGCTATTGCGCAAATTTAGCTAATTGTTATACTCAATTTGAAGTAAGGATTCAATACTAGCTTAATTAACCTCCTCCTTTCTATTCTTAGTTTCCCTTTTCCATGAGACACTCCCTTGGCCATAGCTCCACATAACAACATTAACAAACATTTTATTAAGTCCCAAGCAATCACTAACCACTTTAACCTCTACAACCACTTACTCACACCCCTACTCCAATAAAAACCAGCAAACATCTTCCTTCCTTGCTATCTCTCTCTTCTCAATAACTCAACTAGTTATTGAGAATTTAATTTAATAATAACAAGCATATTGAATCATGGCTTATCAAGTCATCAATTCCACCCTTTGGTGCTCTGTTTTAGCTCTTGCGATTGTCATGTTATTCATTCCAAATGTTAGTTCCACCAAGCAATCCAAGAAAGCACAAGGCTTGAAAATGAATGTTATTGATCAATGCTGGAGATTGGATCCTGAATGGAGGAAAAATCGGACACAGCTTGCCACATGCTCGGTGGGCTATGCAGGGAAAATGACAAACAACATAGGAAAGGACCTCATCTATTATGAAGTTACTGATCCTAGTGACGACCCAATAAACCCCAAACCTGGCACCTTGAGATATGGAGCTTCTAGGATTCATGGTAAAGTGTGGATCACATTCCAAAGAGACATGCAAATTAGGCTCGAGAGACCCCTCCTCATTAGCAGTTTCACCACCATTGATGGTCGAGGCGTCGACGTTCACATTGCTAACAATGCATGCTTGATGATTTATAAGGTAATCATCAACTCCAATTAATTAATCTAGTACAGTTAACATTATAATTTTTTTCCCTTCTAATTTTTTTAAAATATATATAATATAAAATTATTCATTTTTATATCTTCACGTGACAGTTTAATATTTTAATATAGTTGGGTCATCACATAATATACAACGTCTATGATCAAAGTAATTTAAATTTTGATTAGTGTCGCCACCCGTGTGAAAAAAATTATATTATCTACGCTTCAATCGAAAAAAAAAAAAAAAAACTTGTGAGAGGACCCAAATTATAATTCATACGTAAAAGTATATATGTTATAACATAAAATCAATTATGCGTCGTCCTCCAATTAACTTCTAAACTTTGCTTTTGAGATAATTGATTTATAACATTTCCTTGCATGAGAGATATAATATAAAAATTATTTATTGGCTCTTCACTCTCATCTTAAATTTTTGGGTGAGATGATTGGGGGTTTTTTTTTTTTTTTTTTTTTTTGTAAGTTGCTTTTGTTTTTAGTATAAACCATAGGTATCTTTCTCTACAGGAGACAATTGTTTTGGGACGGGTTCAGAATTAAGTCTTTAAATTCCTTTCAAAGATAATACTGGAGATGATCGATGATTATTGATTTATATATATGGTATTAAAGTATACGTGATCACAAGATCATGAGTGGAATTAAAAAAAGAAATGGCATGTACAATATTCACGCTTCAAGATCAAAAGAATCTTATATAACCAAATGGTGGGAGCTCAGTTGGCGCATGGGAGCTGAGCATGTGGGAGTAAGAACATGTGTTCGATCCTCCCCAATATCACCTTTAGAAGGGGTTTAAAGCCTTAATCCTGGACCCGCTCCGAATTGGACTAGTCGCGAAGCGATGAATCGATTGAAATATTTCCAAAAAAAAAAAAATCTTATATAAAAGGTTATATTAGAAAAATATAATTTAAAAACCATCAATAAACCTTCACTTCACAGCTTAAACTTGAGAGGGTTACTTATAACTTATTCACAACTGCATGCTTATTTGTTATTAGGCAAGCAACATAATCATCCATGGGATTAGGATTCATCACTGCAGACCTCAAGCTCCTGGAATGGTGATGGATCCTAATGGAAAGGTAATTCCTTTGGGTCAGGTAGATGGAGATGCAATAAGATTGGTCACGGCTTCAAAGATTTGGATTGATCATAACACGCTTTCTGATTGCCAAGATGGTCTTCTTGATGTCACACGTGGTTCCACTGATGTGACAGTCTCCAACAACTGGTTCAGGGAGCAAAACAAGGTTATGCTTCTCGGGCATGATGATGGGTACGTGAGAGACAAAAACATGAAGGTCACTGTTGTGTACAACTATTTTGGACCTGATTGCCACCAGCGCATGCCAAGGTACGTAATCAATTGCTCAATTAACCCCCAATTGCATATACTTAAGTAGTTAACAAATACATACGTTTAATTAAGGTATTGTCTTATTAATAAAAAACGTTGCAGAATCCGTCATGGGTATGCTCATGTTGCGAACAATCTTTACATGGGATGGGTGCAATATGCCATAGGTGGAAGCAAGGAACCTAGCCTCAAAAGCCAAGCGAACCTTTTCATAGCACCAACCACAGGGAATAAGGAGGTAATCAATTACTTCCTCTGTTTTATATATAATTTCAACAATTAATTTTCGTATGTATATATGACATTTATAATTTATTGATTTAATAATTAATTGATGAGTATAATTCAATAAATTACACTCCTAAGATACATGGAGATCAACGGTTGAGATGAGAAGTAAAATTTCTTATCCTTCCTCATGTAAATAAATAAAGGATTGACAAGATGCATTCACTCAAATAAGGAAAAATCATGAAAGTTTATTGTTTTATTTTTATATATAATAAGAGAAATATTATATTTATAAATTTTTTGTTTACAAACTCTTACAAATTACACTATATCTTATTGATAAGACATTCTTGAGTGAAGTCTTACCGATAAAACATAATGTAATTTGTAAATTTATAAAACAGAATGTTTGTCAATATAACCCTCCTCGTATAATAATAGTAAGGAAGAGGTACTTCATACCCCTCGCGTCTTTCATGATTGATCCAATTCTAGTGGCTTTAAAAGTAGAGGTATTTGTGTATATAGAATGGGTGGGAGTATGCTATATTAATTGTATAACGGGTGCAGGTGACATGGAGAAAAAGCAGTAATGGAGTTGGAGACACATGGGAATTTTTTTCAGTGAGGGACGCTTTTGAAAACGGAGCATCCTTCATGGAAACAAAAGGTGGACAGGTAAAAAAGCCGAATTATAGCACTGAACAGAAGTTTGAAGTTGCTGATGCCAAATTGGTGAGATCATTGACAATCTCATCGGGCGTGTTACGATGCAGTAAAACCTCTGTATGTTGAGTTACAAAATACATGAGATTGAAGCAAGACTGACATAACCAGCAGGAGTATGCATGGGATTTAAATCTAATCTATTGAAACTCCAGTATTTATAGATTGAGAACAAAGTAATGAGTATTGTACGTTTTAAATGATTTTAGCATACATTGGGAAGTTTGGTTCACGGACGGACCTGGGTTGTTGGGGACTCATGCCCCCATTGTGTTAAAAAAATAAAATAAGATTATTACTATGTAGTTTTTATGTATCTCTATTGTTGTGCAAGTTCAAGATATATAAGTTTGCCCCACCATCACATACTACAAATAATTAATTTAGTACTTTTGTTTAATTACATAAGTACTAGAGATACATGTTTGGTACGTAATATGGCCAACCCATTTTAATGTTGACAAATTAGAATTGATATCAAGGATGTCTCTATCAATAAATCTATGTAAATCCCACAATAAAACACATAAATTTAGCCATAAAGATTTTCTAAAAAAGAAGGATTTTTCTTCGGAAAGATATAAAACACAAAAAAAGATGACATAAACATTACAAGAAAAAAAAAGGGACAGAAGTCATATCAATTAAAACACCATTTATTACCAAGAGATATAATTGTTTACTTTATTTATTTATTTTGTTTACATACGTGTAACACATCTTAAGAAAATGTGTTATCCTTTATCAAATTGTTTTAATTACTTAAAAAATAAAGGCTTAAATTTTTTTAGATGCTAAAAATAATTTTAATTTAATAATTTCTTAGTCATTAATGTCTTTAGAAGCATACATTAAGGAAAACAAATTTACTTTTTATTTTTCAAGCACATGTATCTCTTTTACATAGTTGTTCCAGGAGATGACAATAACTCGGACAACCAGTGGAATATTTTGGGTCGATAATGGATGAAAGGATTCTTTGATCTAATAGCTTTTGATGAAAAACCCATAAATATATCAATTTAATATAAACTTTTAATCCTTTTGGAAGGTCCACCTTCAATTCCTAAAACCAGTGTATCATCTCCCTTGTTTCCTTCCCAGTCATATCCCATTCACATACCATCTCCTGATATAAGTGATGACTTGGAAGTTGGAACAAAAAGTGTGTTGGTGTAGCCACATACCATGGGATATATATGGTTGCAAGAATGACCGTGAAGAACCAGCACCCTTAATTTAGAAATTTAATTAAATAAATATGAGATTAAAAAAATAATTCTATAATTGACCCTAATAATTATGAGAAGGCTTAAATAATTATAGTAAGTGATTATTAATGTTAAAAGTCACTTTTCTGACGAAAAGTGCAGATACCGGTTCTGCTCCGCAGTATAAATGCGTATCAATGAAGTATCCCGAAAAATTATGAAAAGTATGTATATATGACTAAAATAATATCTAGGAATGGTATAACAAGTTCCAAGTCTAAATAATGAGAATTAGCGTCATAGCTGATATCGGCTACGTAAAAGCGCGTACCAGCGAAGTGCTGCAAAAAATAAAATAAAAATATGAAAAATCTTAGAAAAATGGCTAGGTTCAGAATCCAAAGTTTGAGATTAAAATGCTAAGCGTAGCTATTAGTGCTTATACAGTATGATTAAAATTTAATGAGGCTATAAATAGGATTGGCACATGATTCTAGGTCAGATTTTATCATTTCTACGTAGCATTTTCTGGAGCCTTTGAGCAGCCACCTTTCCATCCTCTTCCTCCTCCAAAAAGGAGCCGAAGTGACCACCATTTTCTGGAGCCTTTGAGCAGCCACATTTCCATCCTCTTCCTCCTCCAAAAAGGAGCCCAAGTGACCACCTTTCCTTTCTTTTTCTTCATCAAAACACCTTGGGGGAGTGTGAACAATCATTGTGAGTGGGAAAGGTGCAACATTTCTGAGTGTTGGTTGTTGTCTAGTGAGAGTGAGGGGGCTGAGTTCTTGGGTTGTGGTGTTGGAGCCTTTTCCTTGGTTGTTGAAGTTTCAAGTGGTGAACTTTGTGGAGAAAGGGCCAACCTTGCTACATATTTTCGTACACCTTTGGAGTCTGAACTTTGAGGCTGAGTGGTGAGCTCCAAGAGCAACTTTGGTCTCTGTTTTGAGCTTGGGTGGTAAGCACCATCACTTGTCATGAGTTTTCCTTGTTTAGAAGTTGAGCCTTGGCATGTTAATGAGTTGGTTAAGTAACTTGTATGTATACTGACCTATATATGCCTAAAAATGGATTCTTGGACGTTTAATAATGGTAAAAGTTGAACCTTTGATCAGTGATATCTTCGCGAAAATGCAGAACTGCATTCTGTCGCGAAATATCCGAATATGATATTTGGATATGGCCCCGACAAATATCCGGATATTCTGGAAATTTCGAGACAGAGACTGTTCTGTTTATACATAACTGTATTTTTGGGTTTGTGGACCCATGATTGGTTATGTTGAATCTCTGTAATAATTAATCTAAGTCATAATCAAAGGGATTAAGGGCTTATGGCTTTGGGAGAATTCTAATGACATGAAACGTAAAAGGAAACGTTGTCGTTATGTCATGAACTATTGGTGTATGTATATTGATATGATTACTGGTCTAAAACAAATTGTTATTGTGCTGTTTGTGGACCTTGAGCTAGTGTGGACTTGGCTTGGATAGATTGCTTAAGAGGTAAGCTTTTGTGTCCTCGGTTTAGCCACTATTAGTTCCACCATATCCCATGGGGGAATGGTTCATATACATGATGTGTTTTCATGTATTGTTATTTAAAATGATGAAGCTGTTATGTGCAAGTGTTTTATGATATGCATGTGTTGTTCCACCTAGATGGTAAGCCTGAGTATGTGGCGTTGTACAATATGGTGATTCTGTGGGTGGGTGCAAGAGGCGTCTTGCACTGATTGTAGGTTATAGACGTATGTAATTCCTGCATTTCTCTAGCCAGTAGGATATTGACACACATGACACGATATTATGCTGCATTGCACTGATTTTGGAACTTATACTGTTTTGACTGCTTTTAGAACTTATATTGCACATGTAAGTGAGCTTGGGGTGAAGAGATCCTTGAGGACCCCTTGTCTTACTGAGATTTCTGCTTAGAGATCTCACCCCACGTTTGGGGCACATTTTCAAGTTCAGGTACCTCGGGGGTTGAGACCTCGAGCGGCAGGAGGCCGGAGCTGAGTTGAGATATTTGATGTTGTGCTGATATGCCTTGCTATTATTTTGTTTTGTTGTCTTATATTGTTATATGATTTGAGACCATGTTGGGCTTTGTTGCCTTATTTGGTGAGCATGAGGGTTGTCCATGCCACATTGACTTGACTATGTTGATTTAGATTCGAGTTGTATAATGTATCAGGATTATGGTCCGGACTACGTGTTGTGGCTCCGCGATTTAGATACTCACTTATTTATGTAATGAGATTATTCAGTATAGTTAACTGTTTATTTGCAATTTACATACAGGTGATGTTTTAAATGAAAGGATTGATTAATCAACTTGGTTAGTAATAATGACGTCATAATTGAATGAAAAGAAAAAGTTAGTTCCGCAATTTTATTAAGCGCTGCTTAATACGATGATATGATAACAACCGGTAACATCCCTTTCGATTCACGATCCTTTGTAATGCAAGTAACTTTTTTTTTTTTTTAACATTAAGGTAGTGTGATCCGATTTATCCCTATTGACTACTGAGTATGCAGTTGAATTAACAGAGTCCACAAATACTATATCGATATATATGTAATATGCCCTTAATGCATCACGAGGCAAAAATATATATTTAACCCAACCATCTTTCTCTCCTTAATTTTTTTTTTAGTGCATATTCTCTCCTTAATTTGTATGTACACATGTATAGAAGATTCGCTAACTACAAGCTTTAACGAATCATATGGGTAGAAAAATGAAACTTCAAACACTTTTCTAAATAAAACTGGTATATATATACATAGATATTTATTAACTAAAAGACCTAAATATGTTACCAAAAAAAAAAAAAGACCTAAATAAAACACCATCTTTGAACTTGAGACATTGAATTTGCCTTCAGTCAATCAACGAGCTGCAACGGGAGTAACTATTCTAGTAACTTCTACACCTAACCCATAATAATTCCATGATCTCTCTAATGTTGTAGGAGAGTGTTGTGTAAGAAGGGAGAGGCTAAGAACAACTTCTCCCATGGTTGGTCTTGACAAAGACTTTTCTGCTGTGCAATTCACTGCTAAAGAGGCCAAGCTGAGAGCATCATCAACAGAATAAAATCCCCCAAGCTTAGGATCCATCCATCTTCTAAGCCTCTCCTCTCTTTTCTCTTGTTGATCAAAGATCCCTCTAATGTCCTTCCACAGCATAACCACCTCTCCATTTGCATTGTTTGTTAAGTTTCTCTTGCCTGTCAGTAACTCCAACAGAATCACTCCATAAGCAAAGACATCTATTTTTGTTATCATAGGATTCGTTGAAGTTCTGGCCACAGAAAAATTTGCTATCTTGGCCTTAAAGTTTGAGTCAAGAAGGATATTACTTGTTGTGATGTCCCTGTGGACTATACTTGGTTGTGTGTGTTCATGCATGTATTGCAGACCCATAGCAACATCAATAGCTATGCTTATCCTCTGACTCCATGTGAGGAAAGTCACTGAGCTTGAAGCAGTGGAAGACTCAGAGAACAACCAGTTATGAAGAGATCCATTTTCAGCAAATTCATATACAAGGAAGAAATTTCCATCGTTTCCTGAAGAGACTCCCATTAGTTTCACAAGATTAGCATGATTTACTTTTTGTAGAATCATTACCTCCTCTGCTACATCTTCCTTGACTTTTTTCACAGCTAAAACCAAACCATCCATTTTGGCCTTGTACATTGAATCCCCAATCCTGCACTGTTCATTGAGGTTCATGGTAGCTTCCATAATCACACCAACTTCATACACAGTTGGCTTACTTACATAGCCTGAAACTCCAGAAATTAGCTTATCTGCAGTCTCCCCAGATGGCACACTCCAATTCTGATTAGTCCTTCTCTTCTTCATCCTCAGACAATATACATAAACCAGTACTAAAAGTGCAATCAGAAGAGTGCATCCAAGGCTAGTCCCAATGACAATGATAATCAGAAGATGATTGCTTCTCTTTCTTTCATTTAAAGAATAAGATTGAGAAAGAGATGGAAACTGTGTCACTGGGATTAAAACAGGAAGGTTGGTTGCTGCAGTGAAGTTCTGCCCCAAGTTGTTTTCAGTCATCATGTCCACTTGTGATGCACCAAACTTGGAAGCTACATGGGAAACATTGTCATTGGACTGCCACACATAAGTAATCTGATACTCTATCCCTTTCTCTTTCTGGTAGTTTGAGGGGCACCTGCAGAACAAAGGGATCACTACTTTCATACCTATTTGCAACTTATATGGATCAAGATAGGGGTTTAAATCTTTCACTGTTTGCCAATTGGTGAGATTCTCATATGAAGTGGTTGAAAGATAGTAGTAGCTATCACCTAGCTTGATCTCATATGAGATATTGGCGAAACTGAAAGAGTGGTTTCCAGTGCAACCACAAGTTACAGGTACCAGTAAGAGTTGGCCTGGAATAAGCTCATCATATTCGGTCTTCATGTTACTGGCACTTGCAATAGATAGAGGACTGGTGTCAAATATATCAGATATGTTCATCAGACTCAAAAAATTTGGAGACTGAGCAAAATATGCTACATACGTGTCACAGGAAGGAGGTGAATCCACAGGGCATGAAAAGTTTGTTCCATTGGTCTGTGGCAATTGTGCTAGGATATGGGTGGCTGAAAAGAACATGAGTGCAAGAAATAGTGTATGAGAGGGAAGGAAGAAGAAAGCCATTGTTTGTGAAAGTGAACAAATGGAAGGCACAAGGGAAAGAGCAGAAGAAATTTGTTATCAGATATACTATACTATCAGCATTGTTGATATGGAGCTATACTTGTTAATAAAATAGTTTCGATTAATAAAATCAGCTGGGGCTTTTGTCTTTAGCTTTAACCATTTTTTCTCATATTTTTCCTTTATGATTTCTTGAAACAGTGGAAACATGCATGGTTTTAAACTGTGGTACGCAACCTAAAATTGCAGTGATCGAGAGATTTTCACAATTAAATTACATGGTTGCGGCTGCATTAGTCTCATTTCTTATAATTTTTTCACAAATTTAATAATGGCAACTGTAACTGGGACCCGCAATTTAAAGTCACTACATATGTGATATCATACACACGAATAAATCTTTGGTATATCAGATGTATCCAATTTAATACATTTTTTTTTTAAAAGAAGAAACTATTATAACGTGACAGAAATTTTTTTTTCAAAAATCATGAAATTTTTTTGAAATATGAAAAAAAAAATGTATCGAATTAGATATATCTGATGCACAAAAAATTTGTCCCATTCACACAAATAGAATTTCTTGATTTTATTTTCAACTTTCCGCTAAGAATGTGTCATTTGCGAGAGTATTCTAAAGCCAAACGGCCAGTTGTCGTTCCTACCACTTCTATCTATATATGAAGACAGCTAGCTAGGCCACAATGCCACACTAATTCGAAATCTCCGCAATATTTTCAAGGGCAAAAATTGATTTGGGTTATATGAGTTTTAAATTCGTAGTGTGATTTGACATCAAAACAGGAGATCACATATTGACTAAGGATTCTTTAATTTTGAGATTGTGATAAATTTGTTTCTAGCACTTGTCTAAGTTAACAACACGAAAGCCTAATAGCAATTAGAACACGAGGGCACCAACTGAAAATCTTGCATCCTCCTCCTCATTCCAAACAGTAGGATTTGTGGGTATAATTTTTCACTTTTTATAATGTGTGTTTAGAACTCACGCATGAAGAAATTCCCTTGTATCTTTTAGACACCAATTTAAAACAATGGACTTACCATTTCAGTCAAAACAACTTGAAGTCTTACAAGCCTTCTAATTGCCTCCATGATAGTGCAGCTCTTTGTGAAACCGGTTCCTTAAACCAATTGATCAAACGTACAAACAATCACTCAATTATAGACAAAGAAGAAGAATAAAACACTCGGGAAGAGAATCACACAATACATCAACCATACCCAACTTCTTTCCACAAGTTACAAATATCCCTCCATTAGTCGGTTAGGGATTCTAAGCTCTAGTGCTTCTTCTCGTTATTGTTTTCTGCTCCTCCAATCAAATCAGTTACCCTCCAGCTGTAACCACTTGGTATCATCTTGTCCAACTCAGCTGCTACATTGTCTTTTTCCATAACAAGAATACAAAAGCATAAGATTAAATTTTGTTATGGATACACACATACACAGTGTTTGGTCATCACTCAAAATCTTTAGAGCAGTTTCACGTTCATTAGTGTCAATGGAATATCGTGTGTGTCCGCGACTATTTCATTGCTCGGTCTCCTTAAGAAATCCTTTCTTATGCATCTGCTCTAGTGTTAAAATCATGGCTCGACTAGGCAATATTTCATCAACTTGCATTTCATTAAGTAGTTTGCTTCCAATATGACAGAGTATCGTACATGCTTCCACTATGACACTCGTACAGTATGTTGCTAATACTGTTTACATGTGGCTAGACATTGGTAGGACAGGACTCTTATAAAAATATATATAAAAAAAATGAATTTTTTTAAATAAATTTCAAAAAGCTTTTAATCTGTTGGCAATGTTGATGATGCTTCACTTGTCATTTCTTGTTGGACGAGCAAAGGTGCACGGGATGTGACAAAATGATAATATATGGAGAAATGTCATTCAAAGAATATATAGCATTGCATTCACTTTGCAGAGGATGAACTTTGACTGAGGCTCTTCTAGGTGTTGAAGATCTTATGTCCCGCTCAAACAAAATACTTTCTTAAATTAGCTAATAAAAAATTGCAATATCAGTTATAAAAATGAACCTTATCTATCAGTTGGGCTCTTGATAAAACTACCATACGCATTTTTATTATTTTCGAATTTCATCGGCAAGATGGTAGTTGGATATAAGATTTCTATCTTATATCAGGAGTAAAGTAAGGAATAAATTTGCAGGAAATTCAAACATAATCTTAGTAAGAGGCTAACATATTTTGCTAAAAAGTAAAGTAAAAAATTTGTGCTAAGCAAGAAATAGGTCAGTAATTTTCTCATCTCTCAAATCATTACTCTTCTAAAACGAGCTAACACTTAAGGAATTACATTTTCATATTAACGAGAAATTATGATTTCTAACAAATTTAACACACCTACAATTAAGTTACAGAACTTGATTTATTCAATAGCAGAATATCAAGGATACTTATTTCTCATATCAAATTTCTTCTACCGCACGAAACTGAATTATTAATAACCATAGACAATAAATTATTCACTAAAACAATGAATATGCCTTGTACACAAGAGAGTCGATCCCATCTGAGATAGAATGTAAAGTTGATGGAATTAATTGCACACACTAGGCCACTCCACAGGAATAGAACTAAGCCTGCAAGAAGCTTGCATACTTGGAACCTAAGAAAAGCCGTTGGATACAGAGCAGTGCATTTTTGGTAACCTCAGCATTCTCATGATTCATCAGTTTCATTACTCGTTCCTTGGCTTTAAGGTCTGTCACAATGATCCGTCCAGCAGGATGGTACTGGATGAACTGTGAAAGGTCAAAGCAAGCAACAGCAAGAGTCCTTGGATCACTGGACGTGTCCAAAATTGTTATTAGGACCCTTAGAATCTGCAACAGATGAAGATAGTATTAGTAAATAATAGATGAATGTTTGCGAGAGGATAGAGTACAAAACAAGATTACACAATAATTATCTTCTTTTTGTTTCTTCCTTCAATTGCCAAATGGCATTTCATCCATCAGAATCATCTATTCTTGTTATAAAAATGCTTTCTGTATATCATTGTTGAGGACAAAGAAATATTCGTGTTTTGTTGTAAGCAAATCTAATCCGATGGGGAACCATGAGTAGGTGTGTGAAAAAAAACCATATGAAACGGATTGATAAAAGAACTACATTTTTTCGAACCAGTTTAAAAACCGAACCATTTTCTCCAAACAGGTTCAAGAACTGCACCATTTTCTCCACACAGGTTCAAGGATTGAACCATTTTTCAAAGCCGAGCAAACCACTTTACTGATTTGGGATACAGAACCGAAACAAACCCACCCCTAGGAGTGTAAAAAAACTATATGAACATGAACCACTCACTAGACATTTTTCCAACCGGTTTTTTAAAACCAGTTCAGACCCGAACTGAACAACTTTACCGGTTTGTTTCAGTTCAGCATAAAAAACTAAACCGAACTGAACCGTGCACACCCCTACGGCCATGAGCAAGAGGGACAATTTAACATATGTAGGTTCCACCCTCAAAGGAACAAAATCTTTTTAAATCCATTTACTACGTTTCTGATCAAAATCAGTGGAGTGCAAAATATTTTTACTTCTTTTAGATGAATAACCAAACTATTTTACAAACACCTAACGTTGTCTTTTTGTTTTCTTCAGGATGAAAAAAAATCATCTTACATACTATGGACGTAACAGGACAGCTAGATAGAACCAACCAATCAATCAATTCTTATTCATGTCCATGGATGTTCTTCAAAGGCATGTTACTAGATTTTATTTATTTTTTATTCTATTGAGTATTTTGGACCAAGTGATATGTTTGAACCGTAATGCCTTATCAGAACTCACCACAACAATAATGTAAATGAAATAAAGCAATAAAACAGATTTTAACTCATCCGCTGTAGAGTGAAGGTAGTGAAGTGTGTGGAGATCCTGCAATCACAACACTCCATAAAATATAAAGTTGTCCATTTACTGTTTACATTCATTACATTAATCCTGTTTTACAATGCACCAACTAAGGGCCCATTTGGATGGGCATTTTTTTAGCCAAAAGCTAAGGGCACTTTTACTACAAAGTCCATTTGGATGTTTGCTTTAAAAAAACAAAAAGAAAAGTCACAAAAAAAGCCTAAAACCTGTTTTTTGTGAAAGCTAAAAAATTTAGCTTCTAAAAAAGCAGAAGTCAAAAGTCAAATATTTTTTTCAAAAACCAAATATTTTTTTTAAATCTAAACAGCTTTAGTTTTTGTAAAAAAACACTTCTTAAATAAGCAAGGCATAAAAAATCCTTTTTTTACAAGCTCATCCAAACCAGCCCCAAATATGTCAGATAAGACAACTATCAGTTCAATAATCATATTACTGTAATCATATTACATAATCTCTGCTCCGAAAGACACCATCCATGTTGACACTAACTTACACAACAAAGTATCAGAAAACACAAAAGCAATCTAGCCAGCCAGTTAGTATTCAGTACTAACCATTTATATCAAGGTGAACCCCATTATGAGTCCCAAAGGTACCAATTTTCGTAACCATTAAAGTTAAAGAAGAAAATTGTATACATGTAACTTACACCTTTTTATTTTTCTCAGCCTAAAGTTTCAGGTGTGCTCAAATAAGAATTGAAGCACAAAAGGAAGAGATAATGCACAGATACCTGGAAATCATTCTCTTCAAAGCTGGTTATATTTTCTCGCCAAAATATGGGATCTTTGTGCATGGGAGACCAGTCCAGATGGCCAAGGAGAACTTCTTGCTTGTACTTCTCAAAAGAACTTAGTTTCTTAATGTTATCCTTAAGCCCTTCTTCCAGGGAATTCAGTGCCTCCAACAAGTCCTATGACAAACTTTTCTAATCAATAGAAGTGTTGGGGAAGCACCAGGAAATCGATTATTTCAAAAGGAAACGCAGTATCGGAAGTTAAAAAACATCCCACTATTTTGATTTTGTCATTTAAGATAAAGCGATAAACTATCTCA